CAGCTTCTTCTTGAAGTAAGCATCAGTGAGGTGTTTCGGGATTTTCACTTTGCTGGTATCAATTTTTGTAGAAGTGGCAATGACAAATTTCTGAAAAATATGGAACACTTCACAAATCTGCATGTCTTGCTTGCTCAGCGGCCATGCTAATCTTCTCTGTATCGTTTTAATTTTAGTATACGTGCTACAGAAGTGAGCACTGTGCTGCCGAAGTGAGCATACTATTTTGTATTGTTCATTTTTTTCCATAATTGTATTGATAAACAAATAGCGATGAGACAGTTTCAAACCGAATTGGTAGGACAGTTTCAGTAATTAACACATTGCATATATTCTTCCTAGTGGCTATTTGTTTGTATTCTTTAAAAATAAAAAATATATATTAAAAAAACTCACATGAAAATAAATAAAAATAAATTATCACAGAGTTCTTTCTAATTTCATAACCTGTGGAATTTGAGGTTATGGATAGAGAGAGAAAATAATAACTGAGACTGAAACAATACTACTCATGTTTTGTTTTTTTTTTTCTCTCTCTTACCTGACTTTTAATAACCAAATGTAATCAGCATAGGTCATAAGCGAACTGTAGGGCTGCAGCTGTGTGCATCCCTTCCACAACGGTCTAGTTCACTATCTAGGCTGCAGACGACATCATCACTACCTGCCTTACTTAACATTATTTAAATGTAGTCCTAGGTCTACTTAAATTTAACCTTGCCATAATCGGCTTTCGGGACTACATTAGAATGCAGAGCTTCAGACTGCAGTTAGAGGCCCAGGGTCAGAATCTACATTTCACCAAGGTCCCCTGCGACTCACATGCAGAAATCTCTGTGTGTGGGGGAGTCTGAGAAGCGCTGCCATAGTAGTGTATCTCACTAATCTTGCTGGATGCTTCCTAAAAAGAAACAAAAACAAAACACAGCACACACCAAAACCACATCTGCTTTTCCCTCCACTCACCCCAGGGCTCACAATGCAAATTGGCTTAACAAGACTCTGTTAAAACTTCAGTAGATACACCAAGATCACTTGCTTTCTTCAGTGACTTCTATGGCTCCTGTGGCACACAGTAACTATAAATACCCTTCCAAATGCACCATCTATGGAACACACATTGAGAAACACAAGTCTGATGGAAATAATATGATGAAACAAGACAAATCATCCATTAGACATCTCTTAATATCAATTTCCTTGTCTATGTAATGAAAATAAAATGGGGGTTATCAATTTCAAAAAGTAGTTTGGAGACAAAGACGGAATAGATGTTAAAGCCTTCTGAAAATGAAAATGTTTGGAAAATATTTCATTCATTTATTTATTCCTCCAACTATTTATGAGTACCTTTTGCCTTAGACCTAAGCTAGGTGTGAAGGATACACAAAGGGATAGGAAAACTTCCTGCTATTATAGAGCCAAAAATCATTTCAAGTTTATTACAGAGTAAGGTTATTATTTATTTAATTAACAGAATTCCTTCTCAAAGTCATAAGGGATCAAAAGTCCCTCCTGGGCAATAATAATAATGATATTAACATTTATGTAGCACTTACTGGCATCCTCTGATTGGTGGGATATTGGCAAGCTGCCCTGCTAGGTGGTCTTTGCCAATTTTTGTGACACAGATACTTTTGTCATGGCCAATCGGTCTCAAGCTACCAACATGATATCACCAGAAGTACAGATGGGAATATTTGCAGAACCATAAACTATGTCCACTATCAGCCACTGTGAACCAGCCCAAACCAAATGTAATGCATCAGGGCAGATGCTATTTCTAGGTAACTTGTATAAACTAAGTCATGTGTGCCTTATAAAGAAGTCACTACTGTATCCCCTATTTCACAGATGAAGAAACTAAAGCATAAAAAGATTATGCAAATCTCCCATGCAACTAGTCATGCAACTAGTAAATAACAGAGTGGCATTAGAACTCAGAGGTATAGGACTCTAGCACCCAACTTTATATGTGATAGTAGTCTGTTTTTCACCACTATTATAAAATACTTGAGGCAGGCTATCCTTGTAAAGGAAAGAGATTTATTTAGCCCACAGTTTTGGAGACCTGATTGCATGTTGCCTGGATAGAACTCAGAAGTATAGGACTCTAGCACCCAACTTTATATGCGATAGTAGTCTGTTTTTCACCACTATTATAAAATACTTGAGGCAGGCTATCCTTGTAAAGGAAAGAGATTTATTTAGTCCACAGTTTTGGAGACCTGATTGCATGTTGCCTGGATCTGCTTAACTCTGGTGAGTACCTTTGTGGCTGATGGTGTGTATGCCACTAATGGTGTGAATATTGCCCTAGATTAAGCTAAGGTTATTTTAGACAGCCTTTATCTGTATAGGATAGTATATTAGTTTCCTAAGGCTGTGATAATAAAGGTGATTGTACCAATGTCTCTAAAGTGTCTCCTGAACTGTACACTTTGTACTTTAATTTCTTCTTTTACATGATATCACTTGAACTTCATACTGGCCCTAGCTTGCTTTTAGAGAGGTCGAGAAATAGAATTCTTATTCCAATACCTATGCATTCTGCTAACTTATGTGATATTTGGGGGAATGGGCCCACTTATTGTGGAAGTCAGTTAGCAGTGGCTACAGCAGCTCATAAGGAAAATTATAAAATTACGTTAGCAGTGAGTCAAGGGAAGGATCTAAAAGGAAGCCCATTCCTGTTGTCAAAGATCTCATCAGATGATGCAGCTTTGAGTCCTGCAACAGAGTGTTTCTGAGAAGATGGGCCATCGTCCAAGGCAGAAGGAACTTCATTCAGGCCAGTCCATGAAAGCATGGCCATCCACAAGCATTTACAAGACATGAAGTATAAAATAGAAAGATCAGTCTTGAGATATGAGAGAAACTTAATGACACAAAGCAGTCATCCTTTTCTTTCTGAAAAGCCATGGGTGATGTATCATATTGGAAAGTCCCTAGAGAGTAAGTACTCTTTTTTCCTAAGCCAATTGATTTAGCTTTATGGTAATCTGTATGTTTGTTTTTCTTTCTCCTCAAGGGTTTATTTCTTTTGGGACCTCTTATCCTTGTTTTTCCTCTGAGGCAGTTATTGAGTTAAGAATTTTTCTCCCATGTAGGTGAAAATACTTAAATGATAAAACAGAGCCTACATGAGGTGATGACTATAGAAAAACCCTCTAATGAGAATTACTAGTGAGGGTTTTGTACCGCATAGTCCAACCTCCTGCCTTCCCTACTTGTAAAACATTCCTTAGAGAAAATTTTGGAAGTTTGATGTGTGTGTGTGTGTGTGTGTGTGTGTGTGTGTGTACATGTACCTTTGAGCATATATGTGTGATTCATTACAGAAGGCAATCTTACTTTGCTGTGCATTAACAGCTTACAAGTTCTCTTATGCACGCTTTCTCTCCCAGAGCTCTCGCTCTTTTTCTTCTCTTACACTCTGATCGCTTCTTAAATACAATCTGTACTGATCCATGGCCACCACCATATTTAATTTTAAAGATCACTAGTTCTTATTTCTCCTTGTTCTGATAGCCTTAGGGGGTAGGAAGAAAATGTAATATTGAAAACTTGCAAAATATCTGAAAATTTGACATTTATCTCTCAAGCAGGTATAGGAAGGCTTAGTATACCAGTAATCATAGAACTAATGGATCACATTACAAAAAGCCTTTACTCCAGATCCTAGAAATTGCATTAAAATCCAATCTCAAATAAAGCAAAAACAGCCTTAAAAATATGCCAGAGGAATAAACAACAACTGAAAGGACCTTGGCTGGTTGATTTTATGCATCATCTTGATTGGGCTAAGCTATCTCCCAAATAACAGGCAGAATATTATTTCTAGGTAGTCTGTGACAGCATTCCCAGAGAAGAGTAACATTTAAGCGGGTAAACTGGGTAAAGAACTTCCTTACCAAGTTCTGTACCACATAGTCCAACCTCCTGCCTTCCCTACTTGTAGAACATTCCTTAGAGAAAATTTTGGAAGTTTGATGTGTGTGTGTGTGTACATGTACCTTTGAGCATATATGTGCGATTCATTACAGAAGGCAATCTTACTTTGCTGTGCATTAACAGCAAGTTCAAGTGGGTGCCCTCCACCCAATCCACTGAATGCCTGTGTTGAACCAAGAGTTGCAGAAAAAAAGAATTTGCTCTGTGCTTGAGCTGGAGCATCCACCTTCTCCTGTCCTCCAGCACTGACCCCCAACTCACGAATCTCTGGTCATTGGCCAGGGTTTACACCATTGGCTCCCTGGTTCTCAGGCTTTTAGGTCTGAACTGAACATATATACTAGTTTTCCTATATCTCCAAGAAGAGGTCTTGGGAGCTCTCAGGCTCTGTTGTTGCTTTGTAATAAATCTCTTTTCATGCATTTATGTATGTCCTCTTGGTTCTTTTTTTAATTTTTTTGGCAGAACCAGGGATTGAACTCAGGCCCCTGTGCTTGCCAGGCAAGCACTTATTCCACTGAGCCATTTCTCCAGCCCCAGATAGATGTATTTTTAAACATTCAGAAGCAGAGTAGGTCCAGGGAGATAGCTCAGTAGAATAAGTGCATTTTTATGCATTACAAATACAATTTTGAATTTTCTATATTTTAACTCAGCAGTGTGATCGAGCAATTGCTCAAAATGAAGCAATAGAAGTCAAGAGATGTATAAACATTAATTAAATTTGAGACTTATGAAGAAAAGTGTTTTTATTCCATTTTTAGGTTGTTTAAATGTAATATTTTGTTGATTTTTGCTGTTTGACAAGTTCACTTATCTATATGAGCAATTCCATTTAAAACAGAGGTCATCTCTTTGTGCTCAGCGATATATTTCCCATAGTTTTAAGACAAACATGAAAACAAATTCATATTTATCTAAGTATTTCAGAGCCTTTGGAATTCAAAAATTTTTAAATTTTCTCATTTTAATCTTTTTCTTTCTTTATTTATTTGGTACAGGGACTCACTAAGCAGCTTGGACTTGCACTGGTCTTCCTGTCTCAGCCTCCCCGGTGCTGGAATTACAGGCGTGTGCCACCACGCTGGTTTAGGTCACAAGCACAGCATGAGGCACTGGGGATGGAACCCAGGTGTTTGTGCTTGCCAGGCAGGTTCTTAGACTACAAAGCTAACTGGTTAGTTTCAAATATTTCTTTAACGCAAAGTTAAGTACCTTCTCTTTATTTGAAATTTCATTAAAGTGA